AAAAAAAAAAAAAAAAAACTTTGAAAAAGTTCATTTCAAAATTTTGAATTATGAACTATGAACTGAACTAGTTCATTTTAAAATGTGTGAACTGAACTTTGAACTAGTTCACATAGAAAGAGAACTTTCCCAACACTGCCAATAGGTGCATGCATTCACCGATTTAAACAGGGAGTTTATCACTATTTCCATACAAATAAAAAGCAGGTTGTTATTTTAGCCATACTTTGAGATCATGTGTAGTGCACCCATTGTCCCTCCATTTGCTATCCATTTTTAACGTTTTGTTTGACTCAATAATAACTGGGACCTCTTTAACATTTGTCATCATTGTGGCGTTTTTAATCATGTGAATGGAGAAAGAAAAATCAATCTAGGTTTCAATAATCAACCTGGAAGAAATCAATTAGGCTAATTATCATCCAGCTTAAAAACAAGCATCTCTAGTTTCTACTTCGAAGCTGTATTATTGAATCTAATTTAGAAAATTAGAGAGCTGTCATCTCACACAGTGAAAGCCATCACAGCTTTGAGATAATTCACGGTTTTATGACATTACTGTTGTCTCACCTCTCCTCCTCCTGCCGCTGCCTCTCCTCCTGCTCCTTCTGTATTCGGGCCAGACGGCGCCTCTCTGCCAGCAGCCGGGACGCCTCCTCAGCATCCGTGGTCCCTCCAACGCTCCGGCCTGTGGGAGTGCTTGGTGACTCTGAGAGGGTGTTTGGAAGAGAGGCAAAGATGGCTGAGTAAGAAGATGGTGAAGCAGAAATTAACACTTGGGAAAAATATTCTGCTAAATGAGGAAAACTGCAGGGAGGTGCAGGTTTGCTGAATGATTCTATACATAAAACAAAGGAGAATAATAATTTCCTTTTTTTTATTTCTTCATTAGTTTTCATGTTTTCCTGGGAATCCTGGGATGTTTAGGCTGTTTTTTTGGTAGGCTGGACTAATGATGCTTTAAAGAATTTCTGTTTATGTCATAAAATATAATAAGATAGAATAATTGGATCAAATAAAAACACTTATTAAACACCAGTTATTGCAGCGCTGCTAAAGATGTGTAGAAGTTAACAGTTAATAAATTAATCTGGTGTATCAGGAGCCTCATTAGCATTATTATGCATGTTTTGTGAAATGTTTCTGTATAAATGTGTACATGATTAGAGAAACTTTGGGCAAACACAGTTTCACTACTTAGTTACTATAACATTTTTTCAGTTGGACAGCTTTCTGTTTTCTTTGGTTGGTAAATAGGGTGATTCAATATCTGCTGGGTTCTGTAGCAGTGTTTGTTTTAAGCCTACGTTTGTTGATGTGTCTCTTGTTTAGAGAAGGTGAGGGAGAGTTTTTTAATTCTCTCTACCTGCGTTCAGCTCTCTGCTGCTGGATTTTGTGATCCTCTTGTTGTCTGAGGCTTCAGATTTGGCAGATTTTCTTTCCAGGGTGCTGTGACCTTTGCTGTCATTGTTGCCCCTGTCGTCGCCGCTGCCGGGGGTGGTGGCCCTCTGTCGGAGCGGAGAGGGGGGGTATTGTCCGGGAGAGCAGGGTGACTGGGCGCGACTCCTAGTGGACCTCACCCTGTAAAGAAACCGTGCTGTCAACTGGACCATAAGCACACCAGAGGCGTTGCTGTGAATCTACGTACCGCTTCGAAGCAGCGTGGCCCTTGCTGTTGGCCTTGAAGGAAGAACTTCGGACTGGGGTGTTGGGTGTCTCCCCCTGTGAGCCACATATACTACAATTAACAGTTAATATTTAATGATATCAAACATCCACAGAACAAACATCAAGTTTTAAAATCTGAGTAAAACAACTGCAGATTTGTCACTGTAACATAACAATATATAACACGGAGTCCTCTACAAATGCATGTTTTAAAAAAGGCTGAACATTGAAAAACCAAAACATCGATGCTGTTCTGACTCATTCCATCAGTTTCATCTGACTCATTCACTCAGTTTCATCCTTAATTAGTACAAATGCATGAATGCATGATTTAAAACATCTACATGCTCCCTTTAGCTCAGATTATAGCAAATAACCAGCTCAGTTACCATAACTATGCAGAAGACACACAGCTTCATATCACAATGTCACCAGCTGATATGAACCCATCACAGGGTTGGCTAGATTATAAAAGAATAAAAACAAAACTGAGGTAATAATCTTCAGCTCAGAGGAGGAGAGTTAGCTCACAGCTTCAACTACTACAGCTAGGAACCACGGATTACGGCTGAAATCTTGGTTTAATGATGGACTCAGACCTGAAACTTCAGAGACACATACAGGCAGTTACTAAGTCAGCCTTTTATCACCTGAAGAACATTTCCAGGGTTAAACGACGATGTTGATGTTGAAAAACTCATCCATACATTTATCTTTAG